CGCCCCTTCACATTAGGCACAGGGAGTAAATGACATTCTGCTATTTCACTGGGAAATCATCCAGAAAGTTAGCAAAGCTTTACAGACTATGGCTGGGTTCACAAGACTCAAAAGCCAGTAAACTGCCAAAGAACTCTCCAAACAATTCAAAATAAACAAAAGAAAACACACAAAACTAACTAAAACCCACTAGTACCAAATGCTGCCACCTGGCAACCCGGAGCTCAGTTCAGCTTCAGCTAGGTCGGCCGAGCGGACAGCACGCTGGACTTGTGATCCTGTGGTCCTGGGTTCAATCCCAGGTGCCGGCGAGAAACAATGGGCAGAGTTTCTTTCACCCTATGCCCCTGTTACTTAGCAGTAAAATAGGTACCTGGGTGTTAGTCAGCTGTCACGGGCTGCTTCCTGGGGGTGGAGGCCTGGTCGAGGACCGGGCCGCGGGGGACACTAAAAAGCCCCGAAATCATCTCAAGATAACCTCAAGATAGCTATTAGATCTGCAGCAGATAAAACACCACAACTAACTGAGAAACATGGAAGGAGGGAGAGAGACAGGGAGCCACTAGGGTTTACCAGAAAGAGGCATTTCATTACATTCAAATGTGTTTCTGGGGAAGCCCCATGATGGTTCCCTGTAGCTAAATAACCACAGAGAAAAAGATGGATTTACCAGAAAGGAGGAGAGACAGCAGGCACTAAGTGGAAGTAGAGAACAACAGCTGAGAAACATGACCCTGGCCAACACAGGACTGAAGAGGACAAATACCTGGCCACCATGACCCTATTAGTCTGCCAAAACCTTCGAGCCCGAATATTCATTCAGGACATGTTAGAAAAGACCGCCACGAGGGCATCATACAGTACTTGCGAACATCATATTCCCACGGGATAGACCTCAAGTTGATTAGCCTTGATGACACTGTAGAGAACCTGATAAAGATGAGCCTTGGAACACGGGACCATGGAAACCAGATCAACCTAAAGAGCATCCACCAAAGCTGAGGTGATGACACACAGGTAGCAACAAATTGCTGCCACCTGTCACAACAAGTGATGCATCCCTAGCCAAATCAACCAAGCATCAATAACCAAATGACCCCTCCTGAAGCCATTTTACAGGCTATTTATGCCTGTGCCACCTTTTGGGTGGCTTAATCTTTATCAATAAATCATTGACTCAATCTTGACCAGAAAAGGAGATGGTTGTAAACAAAGAAAATGCCCACGGGAGCCAAAAGAGCACAAGCCCCACCTCTGGAGAAGAGCACGAAGTTCAATATCCTGACAACTGGAAGCATGAGCCAGCAAAAACACCACCATAAAAAAGGAGTCCCGGACTGAAGGGTCAGACGTGAACCTAAGGGAGGAGAGAAAATTGAGGACTGTGTCCAGGAACTAAGATGGCTCAGGAAAAGTATGAGTAGCCTGGTGGTGAAATATGCTGAAACAACTTGTGAAATGGAGCCCCATAAGAATAGACAGGAAATCCCAGCAACAGAGGCTCTGCCAGCAATGCAGGATAAGGGGCAACAGTATTAGGCATGAGATGCCCATCAAGAAACAACCACGAAAGAAAAGTAAATACCACAAGAATCAAAATTGATGAAAGATGGTGAAGAGACAGAAAGAGGAAAAAAAAAGTGCCAATTTACTTCATGATGATGATCGTCCTTCGTAGTCGAAGATGACCGTGACTTCAATATATCAGGTTGAAAGTCGGTGGCAATGTGCCAGATGATGGAGGATGAGACCAATCTTCATCTGGAAGGCTAACCCATACACGGGACATATGTGGGTGGAGGCTACTGTAGAGGTGGAGGTTGCTCTAGCTTTGCGTGCGGTGCATTTCCTCTGAGGTAATGCAGTCCGTCTGTTCTCTGCTGCATGGACCCCTGTAATGTTTGCTTTTCCAAGTTATGTGGTCCTGAGCAAGCGACTCCCAAGTATTTGGGTTTATATCCAGGTGTTTATATCCAGATATATATATTTTCTGTGGGGGAGCCCCTACGGCTCCCTGGAGCTTATCGGGCTAATGTATGTTATATTAGACCGGGACATTAGCTAAGGAGTTCAGACCTACCAGGGACCAGTGCCAGAACCTGGCCCCTTCAGAGAGGTTTCAGGGAGCAATGGCCCTGGAAAACCCCCTTGTGGTTGGGGTTTTCCTTATCTGCCATCGACTGGAGTTAGGCACCCAGAAAGGTAGGCATAACAAAACAAACTCCACATTGTAAAAAACTAAAACAAAAAACCGAACAGAGAGGTAGAAACTCCCTACAATCCCAAGGAAACAAGCAAACAAGCAAACATCACACTTTACTGCCGCGCCGATCGTTCGCGCAGCCCTCCCCACCCCGAGAGGGGGGAGGGGGGGAGCCCCAGACCTACCGCGCCGGCTGCCTAGCATCAGTTCGGAAGCTAAGCTTCAACCAATGCGAAAAAACAGCAGACCGGTGGGAGGGAGGGTTGCCAGGGAGCCTCACATGCATTTCTGTCACGTTGATCTGCTGGTTTTAGAGGGGGATCCAGAGAGAGTTTTCCTGGACAATAAACACCACAGTAAGGTGAATAGATTGGAGGCAAAATGCCACTAGTGTCCTGGGGTACCCTGTGACCCTCCGCGGCCTCAGTTTCAACACCCTCAGCGTATGCAAGGTTAGGACGAGTTCTCCCGGCTTACAAAAGTTCATCGTTGCATTTGATGCCAATATACCCGTTGATCGGAGTGTTTTGGAAATAGCAGGGCACAAAGTCTCCTATATCATGCCATTCCCAAGTTCTTTAAGATCAAAGTGCACAATATCAGACCAAATAACCGCAGGAACTTGATTGCAGTGGCCTACAATCGTTAGGAAGATCTGGAGCTCTCGGATGTTACTGAAATCTGTGGTTACAAAGTCCGATGTTATAAACCTCTGGGTGACCATTTGGCGAGATATGTAGTCCGGGAGCCAGTCGGCCGAGCAGACAGCACACTGGACTTGTGATCCTGTGGTCCCGGGTTCGATCCCGGGCGCCGGCGAGAAACAATGGGTAGAGTTTCTTTCACCCTATACCCCTGTTACCTAGCAGTAAATTAGGTACCTGGGTGTTAGTCAGCTGTCATGGGCTGCTTCCTGGGGGTGGAGGCCTGGTCGTGGACCGGGCCGCGGGGACACTAAAAGCCCCGAAATCATCTCAAGATAACCTCAAGATAACCAGCATGTTGTTGACATTAGTGCGGATGACATGAAGGCGCAACTTCAGGCTAACATTCTGATCTTCGGTATCAGGAAATTTATGCATATTACTAGTGATGAACTGTGTGATACCGGCACTGCCCTACTTACTTTTCTCGATTCCTTTTCCCCTGATCGGGTTTGGATTAATGGCTTCCTCCATAAATTGGAGGTGTACGTCCCCTGTCCCACTCAGTGCTTTCGTTGTAAAGATTTTTACCATATCTCACAAGGCTGCACCAATGACATCAAATGTGGCAAATGCTCTAGTTCCCATTACACATGTGACACTGTGTCTGATATGCTCTGCTGCCAGAGCATATCAAACACACAGTTGGTTCTCTGCTGGCCCAACTGTGATGGTGATCATGCCGATACATTCAAACAATGTCCTTCATACGTAGCGGCACTAACTAAGCCTCTCCCTGCCGTCACCTTGCCTTCCAGTCGTGCTTTGCTTCGTCTTGACCCAGTTCATCATCAACCCTTGCTTCCTGCTCTGCTGCCACCTTTGCTTGTGCCTGACCTGTCTGTCACTGACATTCCTATCTCCCCTGTGCCCACTTCTCTCTCACATGCCATACAACCAAGTCCCGATCTTGTTTACACTCTTGTCACTCGCATTGCTGATGCACTCGAGAAGACGCTCCTCACTAAATTCTTTCCGCAATTCATCCAACCCGTTCCTGAGGCTGACCCGACGCATCCCTCATCCGATTCTCCTATGGTTGACATTCCACCTTCCGTGGCTGCCATTACTATCTCCAAAATGTTTGAACTGATGCTGGACAATCCTCTCCAGAATTCCTTAGTGCACCTTCCCCGAGTTCCTTCACAGGCTGCCTTGCCACACATCCCTACCCCTGGTACTAAAAGGAAGCAATCCTCTGCCGTCCCGACTTCCAAGCACCCTTCAACTTTGCCTGACAGGCCCCATAAATCCTACACTCCCACAACATCCTCACCCCAGGTCTTCCTCCCATTGTCCTCCTGGCACATCTAAGAAGACTGATGCGATTGCGTCCCAGCCGTAAGGCTCCGGATTCCGTCTACGTACCTTGCCCCATCCTCATCTCGCCTGGTCCCGACCTGACTTCTTCTAATCGTAACTTATTGTGACTCGTTTTCTTGTGTGTGTACAGTGTTTTCTATTCTTTGGGGAGTTGTTTGGCAGTTTAGTGGCTTTGAGTCTTGTGAACCCAGCCATTGTTTGTAAAGTTTTGCTGACTTTCTGGATCCTTTCCCAGTGAAATAGCAGAATGTCATTTGCATCCTGCATCTTGTGTGAGGGGGGGCAAGGTTTTGTCTTTGGTCCCCGGAAGACCAAACACTCGTGCAACTGATGTGACTGGTACATTGGAGCAATCTCAGTGAGATAGCTACAGGGAAGCCACCATGGTGCTCCTCCAGAAAAGAGCATTTCATATACGCAATACACCACATATTCTATAGGTTTACATCACCTTGAATTTAAAATTATATATTAATTATAGTGCAGTACTTGTAAGAAATCCTACTCTCATTGAGAAATAATAAACAGCATTACATATATATCTTGTATATTTGTTGCGTTTGTTATTTGGCATTTTATAGTGTTAGGGACTGTCAGAGTAGATAATTGATTAATATTCAAGATAAACATGCCCTTGCCTTTATAGCAAATGATTTAAACAAAGGTGCCATGTTCACATTCAAACTCTTTGCATCATTACTGTTGAATTTTTTAACGAAATGATACAAAATTTTTCATACCATTTGGCTGATGGTGACATTTTTCCATAGACACACTCAATATCCGTGCTGGGGCGGCAATCTTGATCTCGGATCTCGCTCATTCACAGTTGGCTTTAAATGCCGGTATCCACTAGAATTCTACAGTGATAATCAAGTAGTAAGGTCTGTGAGTATATTTGCGAAAATCATCACAAGCACCACGCTCATTTTTGCTTTTGGCTTTGTATAAGTGAATTAGAGCATGAGAAGGGGTGGAGAAAAAGGCTCTGAGGCTGGGTAGATATGATGAGTTGGTAATACAAGGAAATACTGGATGCAAGTGAACAATGGGAAGTGACACTGAACAGTGCCAAGCAGAAGCAGTTTGCTTCCATCAGGAGGAAATAAATGAGTGCATGAATAAAAATTTGACAATTGATGGAGTGTGCTTTATACCTAATATATGAAAATGCTGATGTATTTTTGGTGGATGCTTTGCTGGTATGTGGTGATAGAGAGATCCCATGATGTTAGTGAGCTAGGATGGAAATATGAAATGTCTGGTGTTTTTCTGCTTAACTTCAACCCTCTTATCCTGCTATAGTTTTCCATCCTACCTAAGTTATTATGTGTCTCAACACCATGAAATTTGGAGATGGAGTAATGTTTTTTCTGGAGAGGGTAGAAGATAACTCCTTGTAGCTAGCTGCACTGAGGTAGCTCCACACAAATGAGTCACATCAACCCTAGCAGTCCTTAATTGCTTACCAGCGACCAAAAGCCAAAATGTGGCACCCACACAGAGGTGCAGGGAGCAGGGGATTATTACAATCACCCTCACCAAAGAAACATACAGAAAGGAAGCAAAGCAAAACATGCAACTGTAAGGTTCACAAACAAAAATAGAATTGAAATAGCAAAAGACTGTACAAATGATCCACCCACAGAGCAAACCCAGCTCTGGCGGTAGCAGCACCTCCGATACCTGCCAGCTCTCTCCGTCTCGGTTCTTCACCTGATGTCCAACTGTTTGGACTGCTCCATGAGTCACTAGCATTACAGGTCCCAACTATTTCTTAGATAAGTAATTACCTAAGTAATTACCTAAGTGTAGTTACAGGATGAGAGGTACGCTTGTGGTTGTTGTTGTTAAAGATTCGCTACCTGGAACAAAGTTCCAAGTAGCACGGGCTATGGTGAGCCCGTAGTGCCTTTACGCTTGTGGTGTCCCGTCTTCCCAGCACTCTTTGTCATATAATGCTTTGAAACTACTGACGGTCTTGGCCTCCACCACCTTCTCGCCTAACTTTTTCCAACCGTCTACCACTCTGTTTGCGAAAGTGAATTTTCTTATATTTCTTCGGCATCTGTGTTTAGCTAGTTTATATCTATGACCTCTTGTTCTTAACCCTCAAACCGCTAGGGGCCCAAATGGAATTCACACCCACAGGCGCAACAAAAAAAAAATCCAAAAAATTCTTTCGTCTTATAGAAGTGTTCATTTTTGTTCCCTGATCACGGAAAAAATAACAAAAAAATCGTAGGTGGCATATTTTAGCCGCAATAGGGTAGGGAAGTGTGGCAAACAAGGGGTGTAGGCAGAGCCTTCGCCAGACGAGGTCTACTCCGCCCAAGCTGTCAGACGGCAGTTGCCACAAATATATTATTACCTAATTATTTCAATGTCTCTGATTGATTTTTTCTTAGTTTTTTTGCATTAATATTATTCCATACAGTGAATTGTGGTATATTTATATTATAAAATGTGTGAACCATCGCTGTACTCAAAATTATGGTGTGCATATTAGTGATTCAATTATTATGTTCATAAAACAATAAACAAATAGTTTTGCTGTTGTTACGCTATATACACAGGTTATATATAAGTATTTGCATGTTTTGTACACCATAACAAACTACTAAGTTGGTCTTGTGAGTCAAAAAGCAACGAGGAGTGACCGCCAAACACCAGCGAGCCACTCACTGCCACTCCCTCCCTCAACACCACCTCACTCACCCTCATTCACCTCCCACAATACTCTTCCTGTATTTATTCACTATACACAGAAGTTATATATACGTATTTACGTGTTTTGTTCACCATAACTGTACATCTAAGCTTGTATGGTGAGTAAGGCCATAAGATGTAGCTACTCACACAGCTGATCGGCGGCCGCCCTCAAGGCCAGACGCACTAATATTTGTCCTCCAACAATATTGTTTGTGGTGTTATTACGCTATATACACACATTATATATAAGTATCTACCTGTTTATGCACCATACCTGTACAAATAAGCTGGTATTGTGCCCAAAGACCATAGTGGCCATCAATAAACAACATGCCAAGTCGTGCAGACGACACTCCTCCCTCACCAAAATGGCGGCTCCCAACCTACTCCTCTCACTGTTATCTCACACTATACACACGTTATATATAAGTATCTACATTTGTGTTCACCATATCGAACCACTAAGCTGGTATGGTGAGTGCAGTCAATAATTGGTGGCCACACACAGTCAGGAAACGACGCCACAACCCTCCCTCCATGGAGCACAGCGCTAGATATCACCACAATCCTGCTATTATCAGAATCCTGGTCAGTTTTATCACAGTCAGGGGGCTTCAGTAATACTATCACTGCTAAATAATAGCAGTATCATTTATATTATGGTATTTGTAGGCGATGCTGTGGTCACAAGCTGAACAGCGGTGCTGTGAGCTCGTGCTGCGTGCGCCAGCCTTGGTGGCTTGCTCAATACTGACGCTGTAACACCCAAGAATGTTAGCCTGGATTTTTTTCTAGGTGGCATCTGGCAACTATCGGTCGTGGCTGTACTATAGCTGCCCCTATCCCAGGCGGGGCGTTTAAATTATAGCGCTAGACACGAAATCATATATAAATGATGTGCGCGGTTTCGGTTTTGTCACTGATATCATTTATATATGATATGCGCGGTTTGAGGGTTAAAGTTCCAGGTCTCAGGAAATCTTCCCTATCGATTTTATCAATTCCTGTTACCATTTTGTATGTAGTGATCATATCACCTCTTTTTCTTCTGTCTTACCAGCGTGTTAGCCATTCTTTAAATTTTGTCCTTTGGGGTCCCATTTCAAGATAGTGTTAGCTTAATGTGTTTACAAGCCTCACTTGTTAGGACTTTTGAAACTGTTTACTTCGAGTTGCATGTGCTCAGGGCAGCCCTTCCCTAAGTGCATGCCTAGTGATGCCACAGCAATAACAGGGTACCCTGGTGGGTTCTGGAGTGCATCCCATAGAGGCAGGTCTACTGTGTTGGGTGCCTCACCCTGAGTAGTGCAAGGGGTCATTGACTTTTGTGTGAGGCTTTGAGGTTGGGGCATTTAGGAGTTTGTTGTTTTTGGGTGCACTGGGGTTTGTGTGCTTGTATATACGGTGTACCACTGATGCCCTTCATAGATGTGTTTATCCTGAGGCCTGTGTTTGGCACAGTTGGCACAATCAGAGAACACTGTTTGAACATCAGTAGTCCATGACTGTTCAATAATGTCCCATCATGTGTAAGAAATATTGCCAGAACAAAAATGGACTCAACTAAAAAATTAGTTTCCTACAAGAAGTGCTGCACCATATTGGTGGTAATGGATATGTGGGGTAACTCCAAGCAACAGTCTGTTGGACCAAACCTGTTCCCCAACCAGGCTTGGGGGAAGTGGAAGAATTCTCGGAACTCTCTCCAAGTTTAGTTCCACCGATGTTTAGTTCTTCAGTTCTTTTGGCAAGCACACCTAGTCCCTGAGTGTAATGCTTGGTCCTTACTTTTGGCCCTGGTAAGTTCTTTGGGTCTGGTAGGGCTCATTATGGATCAACCCACCAAGCGTGCACTCACTTTTTGCTAGTTTGAAGTGTGTCCATTGATGGTGCTACATGCCGATGGTCATTCATTCTGTCTGCCATGCTGCTTGTTGGGTGGGTAATATCTTCCACCCTAAGGTGTGTGACTTTTGCATTTGCTGGGGCTCTATTCTAGCAGAGCTGCCTTCTAGACAAGAGGCTTTTCAAATAGCAGCCATATTATGGGTTTGTTTCTCTCATTTTCATTACTTGTTGCTTGGTGCTCATGTGAATGCTCCAGAGTTGGTCCCTATAATGTTTAAGGATCTGGAGTTAAGAGTGGCTCATAAATTACACTTGTTCAAAGTTTGCCCATCCTCCTCCAATTCCATTTGGCATGGTTCGCCAGGCCTTTATTTGAGCTTGGGAGACTTGGCATAGTATTTGCCATACCCGAATGCTTGATTGGTTAGAAGCGAGTTCTGTCTTTTATGTGTTCTTGGGGGAGGTTTGTCTTTTGTGCTGCTGGAAGATTTCCTGTTTGCTCCAGTTTGCTCAAGGACACGGGCATGGGGCAGCTCTTAAGTGCAACTGCTTTTGCTTTCTGGAATCCAGGCTGTGGAGGATGACAGGACCTGTGCTCACTTGATCACAGTCACTGGGCTGTGGTCAAGCTATTCTGCAGAGCAGCCTTGAACAGTTACTGACAATTTCAACTTCACTGACTTTGCCCAAGTTGCTCACTCTCCTCCTTTAGGAGGCAGTAATGGATTTTTTCCTGGCTTGTCTCACATGTCAGTATGCTGTGCTAATCCAAGCTATAGGTTCAGCTTGGTCTCTAACCCTTATGTCTATCACCCTCTTTTTGTCCCTCCTTTTTCCTGGGGTGATTGTCTCTCCACTGATCTCGGCTGTTGCTTTCCAATCCCTCAGTTGGGTTCTGTCATTGTCCTTGCTATCCCTACTGCTCAGAGGCAATCCTCCTGGGTTAGAGCCTCACCTGTAGTTAGTCAGGGTTGGACTCCATCAAAGTCTGATTCTCTGGCTGTTGCTTCTTCTAGGTGGCGTTGTTCTTGGGTGCTGCAGAAGTGGTTCTGGACGGGGGTCTTGACACCAGAAATTTTGTGGTCCACCTGTTTCTTGGCAGTGTGCAGGAACATCTGGAATTTTTTGCCAGCTCCTGGTCCCATGATGCATGGCCCTTCTGAGTTGTCTCCTATTTTCTCTTCTTGAATTGATCCTCTTCCCTTCTTTTTTAGTTCAGGGGTCATGATCAAGGTGTTATCCCAGCAGTATTGTATGGTCATTGAGAATTGACAGGACTGGTGTGGTTGAGTTAACTACCTCTCTTTTGGTGGGTGTCTTGGTT